TGTGAAAGTGTATCATAGTGCAAAGGCAGATCAGTTTTCTCTTTTTAGGAATGGTTTTATTAGTATTAACATCTACAGGTTTTTTACATAAAAAGTAACAAAGATGATATTTTTTTTGTCTCTGGATCTCCTGCTTCTTTTCCGTTGTTCTTTTAAAAACATCCCCAAACAAGCCAAGAAACAAACAAAAAACCAAATGAAAACCCCCAACACTGTCTGTCTTGTCCCATCCCTGCCCCCCCCCCCAAAAAAAAAACAAAAAAAAACCCCACCCCAAACAAACCCCACCACAAAACCACCCAAACCTAAACCACAAGCTCTTTAAAATTAGGTTAGAAATTGAATCTGACAAATCTTCAGGCATGTGATAGTGTTTAATGACAATAAAGATTTCTTTCCATTAGAAATTCTTAGTAACTGCAGAAACAGTCTTTGTGTGTGCAAAATGAGAATATTTTAATTTTCTTTAAAGTTGTTCTTGTATGTAAATAATTTGTACATGACTGTAAAACTTGGGGGTGGGTGGGATGAGGCAGCTTGGTTCTCTTCATAATGCACAGCACTTTGAAAGTGATTTTGGGGGGAGGGGGGTGTGTGGTGTGGCTTAGAACAGTCACTCTTCTTGATACCAGAGTTGACATAAGTTTGCTAAGAAATGTTTAGCATGTTCTGGGTGTTTTAGCTTTGTTTTTCTAAGGCCTGTTACCATAGATCTATATTTATGGTGCAGTCTACATCGATTTCCTTAGTTTATACAATATTTGTCTGATTTAACAAGGATTTGATTCACCTAGACATAAATGAACAATAATAGTGTCATATGGCTAGATGCTGGATTTGAGAATTTATTTTATGAAGTAAAACGTCTTAAATTCCTTGATTGTCCTAGAGATGTTGATCTTAATTTCAAGAACATTTACTCATTTTATTCTGTTCACATAGCACAGAGCTGTGATTTTAGTTCATGAGTAGGTAGAATTTAAGTTTACTTTGATAGTGCTGTACTAAATATAATGGCTGGTTTACAGGTCTCATTGATTTGGTATAATTTGCTAATATATTTTTTAAATTTTTGAGGTTGACAGTAGTACCATATCAAGATATGGCTCAGGTCATGCAAAATAGAAGAATGTAATGATTGGGCCAGTTGTCATATAATGCAGTTACTGTGTAAAAAATCTGTTTAGTGCAGGGAAAGATAATGTAGTTCTGGTGTCAGAGTTCTTGTTATGTCCATTTAGACCTTTTCTGCGCTGCTCTTTGAACAGGGAAAGAAAGACCTGTGAAGAATGTCCTTGTTTCCATACTGAACTTGATAATGAGAAACACAGTGTTTATAGTAAGTTACCCATGTGCGCACACTGCAGATACTGAACAAAATGAAGACGTACATTCCTCCCTGTAGTACTAGGATTTATACAGTTCATCCATATAAATGGGAATTTGCCCTCTTTGTATTCCATAAGTTGATGAGCATGATTTGGAAGTTGTGGGAAAAGAATGATGTGTTTTGGGTGGTTTCTTAGTATATAGCATTCAGAAACTCAGCATAATGGAGCAGGTAAGGTAGACATAAGGACTGTGGTTTGATGGAGGTTGAAGAGAAAGTTTTTGCTGGAAGGTGTGGGAGAAATGGATATGTAGGTCAGGAGGCCCAGAGCTGAGTGGGAGGGGACGAAGAGTTTGCCTTATTGAACCAGCATTATGATTACTATGACGTTCATGTGATCAGCTTGCTTACTTTGAGACTTTTCTTGTTCTTCTCTGCTCTAAGAAGTCTGGAGGTTGGAGTTTAGTTGGTCAAGTAAGGAACATGCTGACTTTTCTCAAGTGATGTTCAGCTAGGGAAAAGTTGGAAGCTGCTGATGCCAAGATTAGTTAACATGTTAACAACTCCATATGAACATTAACTATGCATTGCATGGTATGCTTAAGCAGTCTTGAGGAATAGATAATGCTGTCCTTGTGCTCAGAATTGGAGGTACTTTTAAAATTGCTTCTTCCACAATCCATTCATAAATCCCATATTCAGATATGTTTGGGAAAACTGATGAATGTTCTTTCAGCATGTACCTACAGTTAACTTCGAAAGTAGTTCTGCAATGCAGTGAGACTTTTTTCCTTCTGTTTCTTCTACATTCAAATAGCCTATAGAAACAAAGGCTATAAAATACATACCTTAGGTAGACATTTTATAAGTTCATAGTGTTACATGGATTTTTATAGGAGTGAAATGGAAATAAACGAATGTGTTATGGGTGCGGTGGTGTTTTCCTAGTTTCCACTGTACCCAGAAATGAGTTGAGCAAATATAGCAAATCAGATAGAGAGGAGGAGTAGCACATGCTGGTACTGTAATTTAAACATATAGTCTGTGAAGCAGTACTGTGCAGTGTTTTTACATCTGTATTATCTTTACCTGCTTTCATTGCTTTGCAAAATTGACCAGCAGAGAACTGAAAAGATGTTTTCCAGTATGAAAGTTTAGCCAGGTGTGTGTATATATATATATGTGTGTGTGTGTGTGTGTGTGTATATATATATGTATGTGTGTATGTATATGTTGTGCCCTATTTTATAAATAAATAGGCTAAAAAAGGAAATAAAGAAGTCTGTCTGTATGTGGAATGCTTTTAAGTAGAGCTGAATATTGGGAAACATATGCAACCACAGATGCAGTGTGCTTAATAGTACCTGTAATAAATGAGCTGTATTATGGAAACTTAACACAGCAGCAACACAGGTTTAATTAAGGCTGTAGTAACGGGGTTTTCCTGTACACAAGGGAAAACTAGCAATAGCTGCCACATGCAGACCAAGTAGAGCTTTGTTACTATTATTTTTTTGTACAAAGTAACATTACTATTTTTTGTCCCTGATACAATGTGTCTGTAACTTGGACCTGGAATTGTTTGTGTGCATGTTTAGAGAGGGTAAAATATACATATCACAAAGCAAAACTTTCAACAGCCACTTGATATCTTCTACCGTATAATGCAGAGTTCCTTCAATGATTAGAACACGTAATTATTTTGGTGACTACTGCCCCTTTTTGTGATCTTCTGAATTTGTATCCATTCTCACTTGTTTGGAATGATAAAGTACTTAGAAAAATCAGTATTTTGAGGAAAAATGCCAACTTTTTAAATATCAAAGAACATGTTAAAAACATAATAATTTAGTGGAGCATATTTTTATTAATTGGAGACAAGGTTTTTCTTAGTGAGTTTCTAGGCATAGCAATCAGTTGTTTAGGGCAGGGGGGAAATATTTGTCCAGTTTGACCTATGATGAGGTTTTAATTTATGACCAGAGCTCTTGGATGTTGTGGTCATGCAAATACATAAACAAAGTTTGGGATTCTAGTGTCACTGTATTTGACCTAGTTATCTTACATTCCCTTCTTGAAGGAGAAAATAGACCTAATTCACCTTCAGTGCATTCCTTAAATTGATCAAATTAATTACACTGTAACAGTGCTTATGTAGGTTCCTTTCTCACTGGTGGAGAGCAGGGTGACAAGGTCAGATGTCAGTGTCCACGAAGATGCTAGTGTTGAGGTGACAAATCTGAATTATTTATTCCTTTAGAATGTCTAAAATAATGCAGTGCAGGCTCCTAAACATGAATATGCTTTAAAATAAGAGAAACTCTGAATTTGGAACAGTTGCTACACAATCGTTATTTAATCCCAACAAAAAGATGGAAAATTTACAGCCTGATTGATAGTTCAGTACATTGATCCCCATACAAAACACAGTGCAAAACATGGGTACAAAGTATAGGTGCGAGTTGGAGTACTTCATTTTGAACTCAGATCACCATTTATATTGCATTTTTAGATGTGGTTTTGCTGAAGTAAATGAAAATGGGCATTCCATGTAATCCAGAAAAAAAGTAATTTTAAGGATTATTAATGTAAGGAAAGAATGGTAGCATGTTAATGATGTATTGGATTCTAATTGTTAACAGTACTCTTTGAATATGAGTTTTGATTGATACCAGTTCTAAATGAATCAATAACAAACTGTTGTCAACACTCAGTGTGTATTGGTAGTTTTGTCCACATGTTCTTCTCGAAGTGGTGCTTAATGGCATCAAGATAACATTGATGCTTGTTATGAATAGCCTGCACTTGTTATTAGCAAAACATGCTAATCACATACTCAAAAGGTGGCATAATCATTCATTACACTTTTGTATTTTTATTGAATTGAATACTTTTGTGAATTACAGTGTTGAATGTACTTTTTTTTTTTTTTTCCCAAAAAAGATTAAGATCCCAAAGTTTTGTAATTAGGTTCTGCAGAGGAGTAGCTGAGTTAGTTGACAGTCCAGCTGTCCTTATCTTTTCACATGAAGTTGAAAGGCAGCTGCACATCACTTTCATATCACTTCTCTAGTGTGACTGGTTACTTAAATTACCACAGAGAGATTGTTCAGTTGTCAGTGGTGAGGGGAGTAGTCCATCGAATAATCTGAGGATGTGGTCTATGTACAGAAAGTTTGGAAATACTAATGATTACTCACTAACCAGTTCATTACAACTCCCTAGGCACTGAATATGAACTCATCATGCCAAGTTACTGGTCTGTGCTTTAGATTCCAGACGTTAACTGGCTTGATTTGAAAGACTCTGAAGTCACATTTAAAAATGACAAGTAACTAATCAGCGGGAAAAGAAAGAGCATGTTCAGTTCAAGGGTACAACATCTAGTTATGGTACAGCAGGCTAGATTACAATATTCATGCTGAGCCTTATCTCACCCTTGCTTTATCTCTGATCACTATAGCTGTTTGCTGGGAAAGTGGTGGTGGCCAGAGTAAGGGTTTGAGAATCTGACATAACATGATGCTTGGAAAGAATCCAAACAGTTCTTGCTTGGTTTTGAATGTGGCTGTTGTTGGCAGACTTAACCTTTTGTTGTTAAACTTTCTGTGCTAGCAGGTCATTGTTGTGAATGCCTGACTGTCCTAACTCTCATTTTGTTTTGTCTTAGTCACATTGATCAAACAACAACATGGCAAGATCCTAGGAAGGCCATGCTTTCCCAGATGAATGTTACAGCTCCCACCAGTCCTTCCGTGCAGCAGAACATCATGAACTCGGCATCAGGTAAACAAAATCTGTATTTATAGAAAAGATCATACAAATCAAGATACTGATAGCAATTTTAATTGGGGGGAGGAGTCCAAATATCACAGTTGTCCTTCTAGTTATCCTGGTTTAAAACTTCAAATTTGTTGATGTGTGATGCATCAAGCAAGAGGCTGATGCTTGAAGTAAGAAAATTTGTGTAATATTTATTATGTCAACAGAAAATATCCTGTAGTTATTTTGTTTATGTTTTAATTTTTCCAATGGATGACTCCAACATTTGAAGAAGCAGAATTTTTGTGTAATTTCTTCTGACTGAAAATGCTGTTAAACTGATGAAGAGCAGAATTTCCATTAAATTAATGTCAATTTACATTAAAGCTGTTGTGCTTCTGCAGTATTCTTCTGCCTCCTCTTGCTCATTTAGTAAACTTGGTATACTCCCATTCATTTACATTTCCTACATCTGGTAAGAACATCTCTATTTTTTCCAATCTTCCCTAAATGAATAAAGCAAACACCTGGAATATCTTGTTTAGAAGCAGACACGTTGTGATTTACCTCTTATTTTGCTATCATTTCCAAAATCTCGTATCATGATGCATTATTCCTCTAGCTGAGGAAGACTGATAACTTTTCCTGGAATATAGAATTGTTTTTCAGCTGGTGGGGGGACTGTCACTAGACAGCAGTAAAGTGTGCTTGTTCTTGCTATAGCATCTGCTGTATGCTTTCAGAGCTCTCTTGTCCAGATGATGCAGAGAGCAAGCAGACAAATTTGGTGCCATATTAGTTTGACTGCTGCACTCTTCCCTGTGCTTTGTCACCTTCTGTCTGTCCCTTTGGTTCATGTTTTATTTATTTTCTCACAATCTGATTGTATTTTGTATATGTCTGCTGTTCCTGTATTTCACAAAGGTTATTCTGGTGCTGCTTTTTGTTGTCCGTTTAGACCGCTTTGTTTCATGCTGCAATTCATATGCTGCAGACAATACCAAAAGATTAACAGGCGTGACCAAACTGTGCTGTTCATGACCAAGTATTAGAGGGGAAGCTAATCAAACTTTTTGCTGGCTAGGCCAGGAGATTGGGTTATCCTGAAACAAATGAGAGTCCTGTTCATGTTCAGGAAGTCATGATTCAGAGGTCTCAGGCTCTGATGTGAAAATACAATATCTGATTATTTTTTCTGTAAATATATCCCAGGAAACCTGCAGTAATAGAGATGACGTTTTTACAGGGACACTTCTGAAGAACAGAGAATAGGAGAAAGGAAGCAATTACCTTGTTCTGTCTTGCCTTCTGGCTTATCTAATTTTTTTGCTAAAACTAGATGCTTGCTGTTTTGAATATTGACATAATCTCTGTATTTTAAGATAACTCCTCAAACCTTCCATTGTACCAAGAATTAACAGAAAAAAATATTGACAGTGAAGTAGGATTAATTTTATGTACTTAGAAATGAAGGGTCCTTAGCAAAAAAATAAACTGATTAGTTGTAAGGTGTAAAAGCTCAAAGAGAATCTAGCAGTCAGTACACAAGCATGATTTTTCTTTTAAATTAAGAATTTACATGTGATTGATGGAAATGTGTGAGCAGTATTTCTGCATAGATATTGTTGCTCATGCAATAGAGTTATGTTTAAGTGGGTTGTCTTGTGACTTGAGAAAGTACTTAATAGATTACAAGTTCACTGAACATTTATTTTTAATTTCACAGGTGATACTGTATTGAATATGAACTGAAATTCTTGTAAAGTTTTTTCCCCCTAGTGCTCTGAATTTGATAAAGTGCAGGAAGAAATCAGAACTTCTGTGTATATTGAATTATGTGTTTACGTGGCATTGCCTTTTTTAAGCTTAAAACAGTTGAGGTAGTATGACTTGGAACTGGCTCTTTGGATGCACCTGCTTACCCTTAACTTACTTGCATTTAACAAAAGTTTGTTTTGAATTAAATAATACTGAACCTGCACTTATTGGATATGATCCTGTACCTGATACCTGATTTGGCAAATCTTTATGTGCTAACTTTAATTTTTTTTGTTGTTGTTGTTTTAAACTATATTGTTGTGTATTTGTTTTAACTAAAGTCTCTTATATCTGCTTCTGTTACTTTTTACTACTGAGTTCATGGTAACTTACGCTTCCTTGGTGGCCTTGTAGAGAATCTTGGAGAGAAATGGAAAAATCAAGTAACTATGTACCACTTTAGCACAGTGGAACTTAAATCTGAGTGCTAATGTCATAAATATAAGACTCCTTAATGTTCTAATTTGGATATTCATCCTCAAAAACTGGGAAATAAAATTGAGACCTTTAAGATAGAAGTTCCCTGTTATGAAATGTTGCTGGCAATGAAACATGCCTTAGTGCTTTGAGAGCCTTTCATGGAAGACACGGGAAAAACCAAGTGTAAGTATTATGACAGCTGGAGGTCACTGACTTGAAAAAAAAAGTCAAAATGCCACAAGGGAGAATGTTTTCCTTTCTGTGGGTTCATTCTTGTATACCACTCATTAATTGTAGCCCTTAATCAGAAGTTACTGTCCCAAGTTTTAGTGTATTTGATTACTGACTACCATAGGAGCATGTGAGTAAAGTTGCTGTGATAAAACGCAAGATTTTTAGGAGCTGTCTTGAAAGCCATTAGAAGCTGTAGCCATTTAGCCAGAATTAGAATTCTAACCAGAATTAAGAACAGGAAAACAAACTGAAGTGGGAGAGAGAGAACAGAACTTGGAAAGGTGCTGTCTGCATATTGAAGATAAACCTATTGTCTTTTCTGGATGAATAGGATAAGTGGAGCTCAGGGAAAATGGGAAGAAAGCAAAACTAGAGGGTGTAGTAAAGATGAAGGCAAGTCAAAAGAATGTTTAAAAAAACCAGGGAAGATGTAGTTTAGTATGAGGTTGAGATTTTTTTGTGTGTGTTTTTTCTTAAGAAATCCCACCTCTCAAGGCAGCTAAGACTGAATGAGAATCCAGGTATGTTGCTGCAAATTACGTTTCTTTAAGGAATAGGCATCTGAACCATCTTCATCTATTCCTGGCATGATTTTGTGAATTTTATATGTGTTAGCATACGTCCTTCACAGGAGGGCATCAGTATGCGAAAATTGAGAATTTTTTTCCCCTTTGGGTTCTTTGATTTTTTTTTTTTGTCTCAGTGGTGCTGAACTGCACTTGCTACATGTAATCAACTAAGATGTTTTGGGCTATATACGTGCAGAGAAACACGTTGTTGGTTAAACTTCTGTGAAATAGGATTGCTTCTTCACAGCAGTAATGGAAAGAAAACAAGCCTGTTACTTTTTAATATGCAACGTGTATAAAACTTAGTCTTGACTGCTCTGATTCTCTGTGTGTTTCTAACAATTTTTTTCACTAAAGGTATTACAGGATAAACGTATGTTCTTCTGTCTTGATTTTTAAAAAAAAAAAAAAAGGTAGTAATAGTATGTTTTACTTCTGAGGATCCTCTCCTATACATTTCTTACTGAGGTAAAGCTATAAATTTGAAAGTAAACAGTGCCTGTCCTACAGTTACAGTTGATATAACAGATGGGATAGTAATTGTGTTTATATACTTCCATTCTTCAGGTACTTTTTCTTCCTGAATCATACTTGACAGCACTGCTTACTTTAGCCTCTTCTGCTTGCACAGAGACATTAGATTATCAGCTTTGGAGCAGATTACCTGTCTTTTGTTCTCTTTTGTCTTCCCTCTTACATTGCAGTTTTGATGTGGACTTCCTGGTGAAAGATTGTAGACCTAGTGTAATTCCATTGCCTCTTAGGGTAAGGCTGTAGTGCCATGATAAAGATTGGTAGGAAAATGGACACTCGAATTTCTAACTCTTGAGGGTTTTTTCCCCCCTTGGGGGGATGGGAGGGTAGGGAGAAATATGCCAATAACTAACACAGGTTGTAGCTCTGCCTTAGGTTCTTGCTCACTTCAGTTGCAGATTTCTCTTCTGTGTAACCAGTCACACTACAAATTCTGCTTTGTGTACAGTCAACACTACATATGATCTGTTGTGAAACTCGAGTTTCTAAGTATCTGCGTGACAGTAATATTCATTTCTTTCTTCATCTGCAAAAAATACTCCCTTTTTAATAGTGTCCTTTTGTAAGTTTTACTGATTTAACAGAATAAAGGTGGACTTTGATTTAATTTTTAAAAGTTTTAGAATCACAATGACAGTGTTTAAAGGGAAAAATTTCAACTTTCACAAAGAAAGATTAGGAAGGTTCTTGGAGATGAGTGTTTGTATTAGTTGAAGGTGATTCCTGCGGTTGAATATAGGTGTTCCAGTTACTGGGTTGTCCATGCATATTTTTTTAATATATAGATACAGATGCCCTCTAATATACATTAACATTTTTTGTAAAATACTTCTTTCTTTATTTTACAGTTCAATATTAGAAACTGTAAGGACTTGCAATATTTACTTTGTATCCCAACATAACTTGAATCTACTACATTTTTGCTTTGTTACTCTTCTGTTGCTCTCACTCTGCCAGCAGCAAGCTTTGCTTTGCATTCAAGACTCGTGTTTCATGGCAAAAATGGTATATTGAGAAAGTAAAAACTCACAAAAAATGGAGACATGCACCAAATAGAGACATGCACAAAGACTTTTGAAAGTACATGTATTTATGTTAAGTTACACCATTATGAAAATATTTAGTTACAGAGGTATGCCTTACCAGTATTTCTGTAAGGATGGCTCACATTTGGAAATTGGAATATAATTTTTCGATAACCTTGTCTTTAAAACTACCATGGTAAATGGTGAATTCACTAGCCTGTGCAGATAATTTCACAGAATTGTAAGTTTATGGTTGTGATTGTGTTCAGTTGACCTAGGAGGCACCAAACAGAACTAGTAGGAAGGAGACTATGCCACAGGGATATTAGTGGTGCTAAATGTTTACAAAGGCTCAAGGGAGACTGGACAAGTACTTGAAAGAGAAATCCTTTGGCACCTAGTAAATTGACAGAATCTGGCTCAAGAAATCACCTGAGGTACTTGGAGGTCAAATGACTTCATAGCCACTATGCCTTTTGGGTTTATATGTGTATTCAGTGCTTTATTTAAAAGTTTATAGAGTGTGACGGTCACTAGGCGGGCTGCTTTCAGCAACAAGATCTGTCCATCACACCAGGCTAGCTGCCTGGGCTAAATGGATTTTTGGTTAGACCCAGCATGGCTGTTTTTTTACATCATGGGCTGCCATAACTATGGAAAGAGCAGCAATATAGAGCTTATATAACTCAAGTCACTTATAAGCTAATGCTGGGAATTCTGGTCATATTGGGCCTTTTAGGGGAAGAGGGACATATAATTACACAGGAAATTTCCTAGGTGCTCTGAGTGAATGTGTCCGCTATACTTCACCGTGGATTTCCATTTTCTTTCATTACTTGCCTCTAACAGAGTTTATCAGCCAGCCAGTTACAAAACCAGACTTGACAGTCTTCTGGTTTCATATCTGCTCACAAAACCAGATAGGAATTACATACAGAAAGCAGTACTAATCAGTTTTTGAACTACCATTTCAACACGTAGAGATGACAGCACAAACATGAGAGCAGTTTACTGCCCAACGAAGAAAGCAACATCATGATTAATGCCAAAAGTTTCTAGAGAGAAAAGTTCTGTTTCTGCAGCCATTGATGGCACTTAGCAAGGAAGACTTGGTGCTATGACAGCCAGGTGAGCAGATGGACCTTTCCTGTCCTGTCTACAGCTGTGCATTTTATTTAGGCAGAGAACCTTGCCCATGTTTGTCTCTAGTAATCTAGTATTCATCAGATCACTGAATCTCATAAGCAGTATTGTTCCAGCAGGTAGGTGGACTGATCAGCTCCTGTCATCCTGCTTCAAAGACATTTTGTTCTTATTTACTACAAAGAAACATGCTGGACCAGTACATACTTTAGTCAATGTTCAGCAAGACTGACACCCCAAAGCTGGTTTTGTTTTTCCTGGAGCCAGCTGGGTTTTTGACTTTGCAGTTCAAAAGAGAATTTCTTGCTGGGTTTGATCTCTGAGGGATATGTGGCTTAGAAGGACTCTTGAAGAGAATGGTAGCAAAGGTCTGCCCATATAGGTAGCACGTTGGCTTGGCAGTCAAGGAACATTTTTGGTCGTCTTTGACTTCTACGCTTGGATGATGTGGGAATTGTCGCTGTGCTTCCATGCCCCAGTTTTATAAAATAAAATCTTGCGTTTAACTGGCTGGTCTGTTTTGCAGTCTTGTCACTCTTTCTTGCCTGTTCTGTTCATTAGTCTCTGATAAAAGCTGAGGTACTCTTATAGGCAGCATTTAAAGCTTGTGACTGTTAAGGATGGGAAGGAAATGTCCAACAGTTAGAACACTGTTTTTCCTCACTGAAAAACCTGTAGCTCTAATGGTGGAGTAGTGAGGTTGCGACAGAAAGGCATAGTTTTCTGAGCCACAATGAAAGAGTTTAAATTAGAAATGTAATTTGCAGGAGATCATCAAAGACCGCAGTAAGAAATTCTTGTCCTGTTTATGCCTTGGGATATTACTGGAATGCAATCGAATTATTATTTTACTCTTTTTGACATTTCTCCAAGAACATCTTTTGAGAACAAATCTGTCCTTCCCCCCACTCTCTCCTCTCAGCTTTAGACAATGAATTCTTCAACAGAAACATGGCGTTAGGACAAAATGACAGGCAAAGAGCTAATGTAGTTTGAACATGGATGTAGTATGTGCTTTAGGCATTTATCAGATATACACACATTTTTTTGTGTATATCTGAACATCATGTTTGAAATTATGATGTTTGTGCATGCTTACAGAATGGCCTATTAGTTCAAGTCTTAACAGCCAAATGTCTTTTCCTAGTGTATTACACTGAGGAAGAGTGGAAGGAGGGGTTGAAATATGATTGGTTCCTGCAGCAAGTCTTGTTCTAATTTCTTTTACATTCCTAACATTTGTAGTGATTTTTTGCTATATTATCTTAGGGTTGTACTGAAATCTGAAGAAATACAGGCAAGATCCTCCTGTATCTAATTTAAATAATTTTAAAGTACATTTCTATGTGAGTATAAGAATTAAAAAAACATACATTTGTAAAGCACCTACTAGATAAGATGGGATAAATGTAACTTTAAGAATGGTTTTCAGTTTAAGCAAAATACAGATGAATGTACATGATCATATAGAGATGGGAATAAGTGGTTTATGATCTCTATAGCGATGAAAGGTGGTTTTTGCAAAACCTATTTGGAACATAAAGGAAACACACCTCAGGACACTGCGTTCAGACATTAGCTATGGTCTCCAGAACACCATCACCTACCTTCCTTATACCATTTCCCCCTGCCTGTGCCTTCCTGCTCATAGAGGCGTAGCACTGCTGTTTGTAGCACTGTGTCTCTGCGTCTACTCCCGGTGTTTTCTTACCTTCGCTTATTCATTGCTTGTTTGCCTCCTGTTCTTCAGGTTCGTGTTTGTGCTTGCTTAAGCCTTTAATGCTTTCACAGGAAGTTATGGTATGAGGTAAAGGGAGACTGAGTTTTGTTACTTTTTTTAATTGTTTGTGAAAGACAGAGGAATATTTCAGGATCTCATCAGTGTTACCTTGTTGCTGCTGCTGGCCCTTGATCCCTAGATGAACTTGCTGATGAGAGGTAGAATATCTCTGTGCTTATACTTTTTCCTGGTGCTCATGCTGGTTTCATTCTGGCAGGCTTGACTTATTGCTGGTTTTGTACTATAATGCTATAGCAAAAGGGAGCGTCAAAAGCATATGAAAGGATGCAAACAAGTTATAAAATTAAACTCCAAATCCTGAATCAAATTGATAGAAGTGTTTTCTGTTCTTTGATTTCCCACCCACCACTTCTTTGCCCTAATCCCAGAAATGTTAGACATGAGCTTGAAACTATTCTGTTTCATGTACTGTTATATATGTAAAATGTTGGAATTTTTTTTAGATCAATTTCAGCTGGAGCAAACAAGAGCCCGCCATCAACTCCTTCCTTCTATATTGCAGGCCCACTCCCCGATGGATGGGAACAAGCTATGACCCAGGATGGAGAAATTTACTACATAAACCATAAGAACAAGACCACATCTTGGCTAGACCCAAGGCTTGACCCACGCTTTGGTAAAAGTTCATCTCACTTCAGAATTTTTGATTCGCTTCAGTTCACTCAGCTTTAATTTTGCAGACATATTTTGAAAACTTTTTATAGTACAATTAAAATATAACTTAATTTGATTTATAGAGACCTTATTTAAATCATTATTTTTAAAAATATTAGCATATATCCTTTAGGAGTGTATGTCACCAAAGCTTCTAATGCTAGGGGTTGGTATTTTGCCATGTGATCCATGCAGTTCCCAGAATTGATGGCATTCAGAAATTACTTACCTAGAGACAGTTTCAGCCAAGTTCACTCTTCCCTTTAAATTTACAAAACTTTACCTCAGAAAAATCTTTTAATTCCCAAACAAATATTTACTTTCCTTTGTGCTATCTTAAAGGGGGCACTGTCAAATAATATTTTATGATGTTTAAATACACTTAAAACATATACCAGCTTATAATTCCAGCTTGTCACAGTGATGATCATGACAAAACTTTCTGTTTAAAACAATGTGGAGAGAAATGTTTAGTTTTGTTGTTTCTACTTTAATAATCTTTTTGTGGGGTAAAGACTATGTAATACTGGAAATAGAAACTTAAATTAGGGACCACAAGGTCTAGATGTAAAATTTTAACAAAATAGAACCAGTAACTCATTTTTTGTAATGTTTTTGGTCTATATGAGGAGCAGAGCTGCAAACGTTTCAATACAATTTTGGCACTGATGACTATGAATAGCGATATCATATACTATTAAGAGACTCCGAACTACTTTCTTAGATTGTCCAAGTGATTGTTCTGATATGTTTAAGGTGATATTACAACTTCAATTTTTGTATAAAGCCATGACCTGTGTTTGTAAGCTTTATTGGCTGTATTGATTTGCCCTTGATTTGTTTTCCCAGTAACTTACTATTTTCAACTCCTTTGGATTTTAGTTATTTTTCCAGTGCCGTGGAAAAAACAGTAGGGGTAAAAAAAAGAAGAGATCATTGTGGTTTTCAGGCTTTAGTTTTGGACTTGGTGCAACTAAATGAAAACAGTGTGCAGATCACTGAGTAGGTCAGGCTGAGGGGATACAAAGCCTTTGAAGCTTTACAGGGGTTGACCTAACAACAACTGTGGGCCCCTTTTGGGAGAGGCATTAACTCCATGAATGCCATATAAACACAGAACTGCAAAACTCAACAGCCGGTGTCCTGTTTTGTTTTCTGAAATGGCTGTTAGAAATTTCAACATTTTTGTTTTGTAGGCTTGAGTGCTTACTTTAAACATCCGTTTGCTCTTACTGCTCTCTCAAACACCAGATTGTCACACTTTGTTTATAAACTGCTCATGAGTTTGTAGACAGGTTGAACCACTGTGCAACTTGAGCCCAAAGGTGGGGCGTATACTGAAGGTTGTCAACTTGGCAAATATCCATGCTGGCTTTAACACCAGCCAGAGTTGCAGACCTGCTTGTGTGTTGCAAGAGGAGTGTGTGGGTAATTTGCAACTTCACAATTACTTACTATGTGAATAAGGCTGAAAAGAAAGCAGTGATTTTGAAAATCAGTGTTGCCTTTTGCAGTTAAAAGAGGCAGGTCAATTATATTTACTTAAGTAATCTTGCAGGGTATGTATTTTTATTTTCTTTGTATTACTTTATAGTTTCCAACGATGAGCAGGAATTAAAAAGCAGTGTGGAAAATGCTTTAATTGACAGAGGTTGTAAGTGAGATGAATCTTGTTTCTCAGAAATATTTTGTACTCCTGTAAATAGTATGGTCTAACTGTAAAGGCAAAAGATACTTGTCTTGTGCATACTGAGATTCCATCAAACGTTAAGACTGTGCAGTTAAACTGAAAGAAGTTAGAAATGTCCAAAAGACTGCATAAGGGTTTCTTGCTGCATAGCTTCCCTTTTTGGGCCCACTGCGTATGTGTATCCCAGACAGGCTTGAGTACATGCCAAGGCTCTTTATTTTGTGGTCGGACTTTTAATCTGTTCCAGACCTTTTCAGTCAAAGAGCTCAAGTGTAACTGAAAGGGGCAGGAAAAGGAAAAAAAAAAGCATGTGGGCTCTTCTGATCTAGAGTGATGGCAAATAGAGACAAGCTGCTAGCTGCTGTTGAGCTTGAAGGAGTTTTCCTTGAAATCTTACGCATTGTATTGTGGTTTATGTTTTTATCATTTGAGCCAAGAAAATACAAAATCTTATTCCTTTTGCTTTCTCACTTGTTGACCTCCTTAAGTCACTCCAGTAAAGAAGAAAAAAATCTGTTTGACAGAACTTACTGAGCCTTGCATTTATTTATCGTGTGGAGATCCTCAACAAATATGTGCTGTGACCCTAAATAGCATGTGAATGACTCAGAAGTTTACCTTTCTGTGCTTAATATAGGTTGAAAATCCTGTTGGGTTTTTTCCCCCCAACGTTCACCATACTCTTTTGTATCCCTGTGCTTTAATATAAAGGCTTGGTTTTCACTGTTTTTTGACTACTAACACTCTTGGAAGCAATCCTAGGTGAATTCATCTTTGTAATGTTGAAGCTTTTGATTATTACAATGATACTAATGTTGATTGAAAATGAAGGAGAAATTAATTTCTTCCTTGATACTACCACTTTCACCAATCTGAAGAACTATTGAAAACAACAGAGCTATTGAATGGTATGTGCAAACATACTCTTCTGTTCCAGTATTCAGAAACAGAAGGTTTGAAGAGCCTTTGCCCTTATTGCTTCTGAATTCCCAGCTTCTAGGGAGACAGCCCTTCTGTCTCTGTATGTTCCTCATCAGATGGAAGCTTTGCATTCATCTTTGTTTTTTCCAGAAGGTGTGCATATACCTCTTTTTTGTTTGTTTTTTTGGGGGGGTTGTATTGTTTTGTTTTTTAAAGTAGTGCTGGGAATTTTCCATTAATCTGACTAGAAAAGAGAGAGAAAGGAGGATCAATTTGAAGAAACTGTTTTAGGTGGACATACATACTGACTGACTTGGTAGGGGGAATTTGGGTATTGCATTCATGCTTTTAAACAGAAAATAAATGATGCAGTTAATACGGATTCTTGTAGCAGGCTTTTAAGACTAATGTATCACATAAGAATCCCTGTCAGAATACCCAGCTGTGGAGTAGGCAACGTCTAAAACCTGACTGCTCCAAGTGAAAGACAAGAACTTTGTTCCAAGACTCAGATCAAACATCTTTGAAGTGGGCTTGAGGTCTTCAGCTACACCACTTAAACAGCAGTGAAGTCTTGTTGTGGCTCAGATGTTGCTCCTCCATGTCTACATATTTGACTTCTGAACACTCTTCCATTAGGAGAATTCACAAACTTTTAAAATCTAGGAAATAACTAAGTATGAAAGGAGGGTCTTCAAGCACAGGCGATCATAAAAGATGACCTGGATCAAAAGAATGGGGATGGGAGGGGGAGGTCCTTAGGCCTGTGTCAGCAGGATCCTCATCTAGTGAAGCATCTGGTACAAACATGCTGTCCTACCTTCTTAGACAAACAGGCCTTTGCAGGCCTTGTAGTAAGGGGCTTCAAATTACATTTTTTTCTTTTTTTAGAAGGTTATTTCTTTAAGGTAACTGGACTATCAGGTTGATCTTGTGTTTTGGACTGTTTTATCTTTTACTAGCTTCTGTTATTGTCCATTGGTCATTCTTCACAGATCCTACTTTTTCTTAAGCCTTTGAGATAAGTTAATATGTTTTCTTGATAGTCAAAGAATGTCTTGATAGGAAACAGGTCAGCTATGCATTCTGAGTTGCTGGAGTGGATGAAGTAGAAAAACATCTGCTTTTTCTATAAAATTAAATTTCCTAGAACCAGTTGAAGTTTGGAATCGTTCAACTTTATTGCTACAAGTTTCCAAGAATTGGCTTTTGCATCAAATACCATTAAAGGGATTTTTAACTGATATTTAAGTCTGAATATGATAGGACTTGTTTTTGAAATGCAACTTAAAACAATTTGCCTTCTGAGGATACATGATTTGTTAAATTCAAAGATGGGACAGTGGACTTAAAGTGCGAAAATACCAGAAACTTGCAGTCAATTCCTTGTGTGATTAATAGAAGTCTTGTGTTTAAACAGTAGTACGCATTAGAGTACTCAATTCCTGCAGACAGATTTGTCTTGAGTAAAGCAAGATACTGTTTTGGTTTTCTTGTTATTTTATTTCAGACTTCAGTTTTATAGGTTTATTATTAGTGATCATACCAGTGTTACACATGCCCAGTCTTTTTTCTTCTGTTCTTTCAAATGTTGGAGCTGCCATATGGGGTATAAAGCACAAGTCATGACCTCAGATTATTACCATGACTTTATTTTTATCTCTCCCACTTAGAGATTATGGTAATGTTTTTTGAAGTTCTGTATGAATTTTGGATGAGAAGGAGGGCAGGACTGTTTAATATCATTATGGAAAGTACCATAGGGACTCTGTGTACAGTAGCTGCTTGAACTACACAAGTAGGAAAAGGAATAAAAGTGATAATAAGAGTTGGAATATAGAGGATACATGTCAGAATTTTCTGCTTCCTTTTTTTGTAATGTAAGAACATTACACCTTTCAAATAATGAAAATGACTGGTTCAGAAATACTGAAGTAAAATACACCTACAGATGTCCTTGAAACATGTATTTATCATTTACATTAAAAAAACCTCAAACCCTATCACACAACAAATTTGAAATGCCCTTAAAAGCTTAAACTTTGGAGCATCGGCTAATTTTTAAGTATCAGAAATTAAAGTATTCCGTAGTGTGGCCTTCTTATCCCTTATCTGTCTAGCACTTTGCTTAAGATGTGTTCCTTCAATTTAGTTTGTAGGAGCCTTACCAGAGGCAGATTTGTGGACAAGATAGAACTAAAACCCTAGACTGGAAAACTTTAGGCCTTTTTTCTGGTCAAAAAAAAAGCTCAGACCATATATCTGGTCAGAGTGACATTCCAGATTTTTTAAGTTCCAGATCTGCCTTCCATTTTTGAGCAAAAGCAGAGCATGGGTCATAGTTGGTTTTG